TTTTTGGGGAACCACACGTTATTTTGTTTTCTTCTATTACCGGTACGGTTTCCCAGTATTCGGCCTACGTGTATACTTGAAGGTTGGGGAATGCCACGTCCGTGCACCATTTTCTTCAACATAAACAACAATTTTTTGTCGGACAGCCAAAATTAATACCAAAAAAGCACCGAATACTTGGAAAAAAAGAAACCTCGAAAAAGCAGCGCCGAAATTCAGGAATAATAAACGCTGGAAACGTGGAACCCTAATTATAAGACACGTCGCATACGAAGGAAAAAGAACGGGATCGAATTTGAAGTCGAACACAGTTTGAAAGACTGCTCCAATTTCCAAGACTCACGGGAAAGATGGGCAAGATGATCCTAAACTGTCTCGGCGATTTCTTGGTGAACAAGGATGAACAAACACCTGTCAGCTTTGTTTTCATTCTGCAGGGTGACGCTTGTGCCTAATACTTCGTGCTTTTCGGTCACTGTTTTGACAATCACACGACCCAATGTCACATAATCGTTTTTTCTTTCCTCTCCTTCATCCTCGCGAAACTATTTTTTTTTTTCCGTGGTTGTGTTGGCAAGCCGTTTTAACACATAGTTGGCTAACGGCCAAGGTTGGCTTCGGGTGGTTTTGCAAAGCTCTTTCACCAGCCAGTTGCCAAGGTGGCAGAAAAGACAGAGCCCAAGGGACCAGACAAGCTTGAGCTTATCACCAAGCCCTCTGTAGAAGCCACCCTGCTCCTGCGAAGTCTTCCCAACATTGAAACGCCCATGAAACCAAATCGGGATAAGCAAGAAATGGACGTCAAAGGGGGTCCGAGAACAAATGGAAATAGCAGTAGTACACCCTGTGCAATTTTTGAGCTCGTCACGCAAGTCTCCTCGCACTTACAATTGGGCGGGACATAGTACTACAGTCATTTATTCTCTGCATTCTTTTCGGAATGGTGCATAAGGGAGGGCATCAAAAAATAAACTGTGGAAACATATATATATATATATATATAAAAACCACATTCATTTGGCGAGCTTTGGAGAACTACATTCAGTAAATAACACTGCCAGAAAATAAGAGCGACGAAAGCAAGGTTTCGGAACAAAGGGCAAAGCTAATTAAACGATGACAAGTTTTCTGCCTGCTCAGGACCTTTTCTGTCATGCATTATCTTCTTTGACGGACCAAGGTACTTGAATTGTGCCCACAAATCTTGGAAACAAACGATAGCCAAAAAGATATAATGCTGTCCTCGGGTCATTATTCCCTCCAAGAAAAATGCAACGAACCGCGGAGGGAAAACAATTATTACGAGCCTAACAATATTTGACTATAAAAAGCAGCTCGCGTCTTGGACCTCGTTCAACTCCGAGCATTGTTCAGTCTGACGGAAATGCTGCCAGTAGAAGTAAAAGAAAAACTATTCGTGATGTTGGTCACGGTTCACATAAACTAAGAAAAACGCATCCCTCCCTTTTATTCGCACATTTCAGGAAAAACATTTACAGTATATGTCACTCATGAAGTGTATTCCTCAACTACAGACACAATATTCAACATGGCCTGTTTGCCTCGAAAATATGCCAGTGACGGTCCTGCTAAATAAGGGGCGGGTTCCAAAGAAAGCCGCATTACAAGAAACGTGGTATGCAAGACAGCGGCCAACCATGCGAGCAATGCAGGGACTGCCTCTGGCCAAAGGCAATTAATTACTCAAAATCAACCGTAGCCCTCACCTATGAAGCCCTGTCACATTAAATTCGAAACAATTGTCTTCATAAAGGAGACCTGGGGGGCTATGTTGCACGTTTTGGACTCCCAGGAGACTAGGGAGAAGGAAGTGACGTCAACAACGCTCTTTGGATGTTGACTGGTGGAGTCGCTGATGGCGCGTTGCGTGGTGCTGCTAAGATACGTTCATTCCCACCTACGTCACTTTCTTCTCTCTAGTCTCCTGGGAGTCCAAAACGTGCAACATAGCCCCCCTGGGCCCGTTTGCTCGAAGCACTAACCTGCTTTTGTGTGCTATCAATACCCGGCCGATTGAGACAAGGCAATCCTCTTTTCAAAGACGTTGCCATGCCGACAATTATCGCGTGGTTCATTTAGGCTTAGGAATGGCCAGAATCGAAAGACAATCTAAAAAATGCGGCGAGGTCACTGCTCATGCAATGCGATTTAAGTGAGGTAAGGCAAAGCGAAAGCCTCCTGCGCCATTGGTTGCTGACTAACGCGCCCGATATTGCAGCTACAACGACATATTAGTTCCAAAGCGAGCGGCGTTCACTCGCCGGGGCACCGCCATGTTTCCCCGCATCCCTACCAAGCCGAGTCACGTGATTTCAAAATCCCTCTCCTAGGTACTGCTGCTAACTTTAGCCGCGGTTAGCGCTTCGAGCAAACGGGCCCTGGACTTGTTTGTATGAGCCATACACTCCACAGAGCTGCCCGCTAATTTCCATTACTGACATTACTAAGAGTCCCATTTGCAGGCTGATGTTAGGTTGCCAGTTGGTCCCTTCGCTCCATTCGATGCTCTGGCAGCAGAGTTTGCAGATGAAACATACTTCGACCAGAGCGCAGGAATGTTTCGTGCTAGCTCCCTAGAGCTTGCACGAGGCCCTATCGGCTTCATCTAGTTTACCTCAATCTGCAAGCACGAAAACCGAGCAGCATTGTTTAGGACGTGACTATGAAAGCAGACGTTGTGTGATAGAAGGTAACTGCCAAGATTTGTGTCCCGGTATAACAACTTAACCTACATTCAAGTGTATGGTACACCGTGCCATAGAGGACTGATGGAACCTATGCGCAGAGCAGGTCGTCTGCTTCTTTTGCAAGGGTTTCGGTGAAGTCAGAACGACGCCGACTTCTCATTGGCTTTGACTGGAAGGATAGTGGGCAGACCTCAATGCTAGATGCCTTGAAGTCTACCCGCTATTTTCTTCAATAAGCCAATAAGAGCTCGGTGTATCATCGCAACCCCTGAGCAAGAAGCAGACGAACTTGTGCTCCGCATAGCTTCCCACCCCTTTCGATTTCAGCAGGGCCACCATTGGTGATTGATGACATTGGTGGTTTTTAGCATTTTACTCAAACATGTCACTGACAAGCATTCAACTTCACCTAGTGCTCCAAAAGAGCACTTTCCAACAGAATACTAGTTTTTGATGACAGCCTTTTAATTCTAAGAAAAAACCTGCTAACATTTGTCAGCACTAACAGTGTTGCACACTATACTTGCACTACAAAAAGAGCATTTGACAGCTATCACTTTCTATTAATTAAGGTGTCCATTAGGACAAAGGTATCTGCAGATAGAATGAAAAGCTTAGTTGGGCTGGACCCCTTCTTAGAAAATGAGATACTCGGGCACAGCTGCATATCTGGGACCATGGCAACAGAACCACCTGGTCTTCATTTTTGTTTGGTTGTGGATGATGCGCCAAACTAAAAGGAGCATATGGCCATTAGTGATCAAGCCATTCTTGGAACTTTCTATTCTGGCTTTTGTCACAATTTTGGAGTCGGAAGAGAGATGGGCTGCATGATGCACTTGACCTATCATGTTGATGACACTTGCTGTGTCAGGCAAAATGTTTATGAAAGTGGTGTGCTTAGAACACTTTGGACAGGCATGATATTATATTTCACATATGACCATGAAGTGACATAGTCAGCCATTTATCATGGTAGAGAAGTCTAGCTAGTTATGCAGCCACTGTACAGACAGTGCACAGGTTTTGGGGGCATGGGGGCTTCTGCATGCTATGCATAAACAGGTTTCACTTCAGATTTTACTCACTCTCTAGTTCAACAAGCCATCCAGTAGATAGTGCTACATATATTTCTGTTCTTACAAAATTATAAATGAACAACTAAAACCTGGTCTGACTAATACTTGCTCTTCAGTAGTTTGATAGTGTGCAAGATGCAACAAGGTTTTAATATTATAAATGAAAACAATGCTTTATTACCGTTCCTAACGTCAAGATGCTTTGCTATGCATGGAAAATGTGACTGATGGGCGAAATAAGATAGTTAAGGTGCCAAGGACATCGATCACACAAATACCATAATCAAACAAGGAATATGAGCTCTCGGTTATAGTTATCACATAAGGTGACAGAATGGGAAAGCAAGTGTTAGAAAGGGAACAAAATGGAATTGTCACTATTCCCTCACTGGAAACTCTTTTTGGTCACTGAACTGCTAACAGAATTGAGTGGAACAGCTAAAATTTGTGGCGAATAAGTCACAACACCACCAAAGAAACAGGCTTCTAGGGTCTAACGACTACATTTTTCCAATTACGTTCATACAGCAATCGTCCCTCATTTCGCACGAAGCAGAGCTGCAATTTAATCCAACAGAAAACCAAATGCTAGTAGCCGGAAAGTGAACACAAATAGGTGTGTTTCGAGGATGTCAAGCAGACAAATGTGCGTCCCAACTTGGCACCGGTTTTTTTCTGCGTTGGCAGTGCACATGCCGTTTCCCGCTCCATTTCGGAGAGCACCGCTCGGCGACAGCGCGCAAACGCGGACCTCGAGTAGAACCAACGGCACCTTTCGAAATGCCTTGGCAGAATTCCCCTCTCTTTTCCGCAAACCCAGCCGAGGCAGCGAAACTCGAAACGGGGACGTATCAAACGCACTCAGCACGCCATTCAAAAACGCGCGGCCTCCATCAACTCCCGCACCCATGGCGAACCAGCCACCGAAAGCTCTGGAACGTTGGTCGGGGTCGGACGGCACGTGTTGAGACCTCACTCGCCGTCTTCCTGCGCCACGGACGACGCGACGCACTGAGCGAGCTACTGACGCGCGCACCTCGACGACGGAGGAAAACCAAGCGCTTTTGTTTCCTCGTGTTACGTCAGGCCCGACATACATGTTTTCGCACACGAATTCACGCGTCCTACATTCGCGGGAATACCCCAAGCCTCGGACGCGTATTAATTTGCAAATGAGAGACAACTAAAACGCTTTTGCAGAATCGTCGTTTACCTCTTGCGTGAGGTCAGCGCCGGAGCCGGTCGACTCTGACGATGCGTCGTCGATCACGGGATCCCCGCTCGTCGCTCGTTGTTGTTGGCCGGTGTTTGCGGGCGTCGGGGCATCGCCCGATGCCTTGACGGCCGGCAGACCCGGGTCTTCGGCCAGGTACGCGAACACTCGGGTCCTGATACGGCGCAGCAGAGACGGGATGCCCAGCTCGTGCAGCTCGGCGAATATGGGGTCGGCGTCGAACGCGTCCACGTTCTTGGGGTGCACAAACACGGGTGGAGACAGGCTTTGGGTCTGCGTGAAGGCCGAGTGCACGCCCATGCGGACGCTCCGGACCAAGTCGGACCTCCGGTCCACGCGGACGGGGTTCGAGTCCGGGTTGGACCCCAGCTGCAGCAAGCTCACGGCGAGCAGGAGCTGCAGGATCGTCGACCGCACGCCGCTACACTTTTTGTAGTTCATCATTGCTGCAAAATCTCGCTGCCAACCGGCGTTTGTCGAAGTGCGATCTCTTCCAAGAGCTGCCCTTTTTCGGGTGGGAAAAATAAAATAAAAAAGCAGACGACAGGGGCGGCGAACCGGCGCTTTGTTGTTAGGACGTGACGCTTATCGCAGTCGAGAGACAAGTTCGCGTCCTTCACTTTTTTTTTTTTTTTCTTTCTTACTTCCTTCACTGCCTTTGTTTAGAGCAGTCTTTTCGACGGCGATGCTTACTCTGGGTGGTTGTCGTGCACCGTAGCTGGCAGACGCCGGACTTTGGGATAGACGCTAGCGGCCAGCGGGTTCCTCCGAAACGAGGCCGTTGTTCGGCGTGCCAGCCTCATCACCGCCGCTTGTGCTTCCACCGCGGGAACTGACAGCGTTCCGAAAACATAGCAGAGGTGTCCTTCGCTCGTACCACGCCACTGGATGAGCAGGGAATCCGGCAACAAACAGCGGTCCAACGACGACAAGAACCGTTCCGAAAAAATACTCCTTGCTTCGAGACTCCGGCAATCTTGGGCGAACAATGAATCAACCGGCGAAGCAGCGGCGGCGGCGCCGGTGGCGGTCGCACGAATCGCGACGCGCCGTTGCTCGTTGGGAGCGCGGCTTCCGCTACGTCACGTCCGGGGTTGATAAACGGTGACGCAAACTCGTGACGTCATGTCACCACGCGGGCCGCCGAGGCGACGAGGTCGAGGAGCGCTTTTCTGCCGAGCGTCCTTGCGGCTGGTTTCTTTTTTTTTTTGTTTTTTACTTTCGTTAGTCGTTTTACGAAGCATTCTTTGTTTGGCAACAGTTCCTGAAGTCGTTGCGAAATATTTTCAGTCTCGGCTCGATTTGGAACGTGTTGCTAGGTGCGCGTTTGCATTTCGGGCAACGTTAAAAATCAAATTTAAATTTGAACTTTCTTGTAACTTGTATCTTTAATACTGTAAAACATTGGCGATTACTGAGTGTAACTACCTCGAAACTCGTCGATACTGTTTTGAACATTGCAGCCAAAGCAAGAAAACAAAAATTAAAAAAAAGAAGATTGTTGGTGCGCAACAGCTTCCTTTTATGTAGTTTCCCAGCCGGTGCCTTTTCTCACACAGCTCGGGTCTGCTGAGGAGCTCAAAAGCATGATCATTTTCCTGGTTCCTCGCAGGAACCCGTTTGTAAATTACGGTCGCGTGGTTGAGTTATTACCCTCCAAGGCCGCTCCTCATTCTCGACGCAGGCGGAACAATGGCCTAGCTCGTAGCATCCGTGCAATACACCTCTTCTCAGCACGTACCGGCCGAATAAAATGCGCTGCCTGCCCAAGCGACAGTGCGCCTGCCAGGAAAACCGATGCAAAAGAACTCCGCGTTAAAGTAATTGCCAGGGTACTCCAAGAAACAATGTCATATACCAAGTAACTGATTAATTTATTAATTCGGCGCTTTGTGGTTTCTTTTGGTTGTTCATCAACAGGCAGAGCCTTTTCCGGTGAAGCGCACAGATACATATAAATACCCCCTCCCTCCAAAAAAATATTTATATTAAATTTTTATTTGAGGGGCACCGCAGGCCAAAATAATGTATCAATGTTTTAGAAAAGTACGTGTCCAAGTGGTATGTTGTTAAACAGGAGCACCTAGGAAAGTATTACAACAGACAAAACTGACAGCCTTTCAGGATTGTCATGGACTTAGTTCCCAGTTATTAAGCTTTAAAACAATCTATGAGCCTTTTATTATATTAAAAATGTTCATTAGAATTTTATTTCACATTATATGTATGAATACATCAACAAGAAACTAAATAATGCTTAAAAGAACACCGACCCGCCCCCCTTTCTTTTTTTGTGCTAGGCGATTTATTATGGTGTTAGAAGACTACCCAATCAATATCTTGCTACAGCGTCACGCATATAAAGCGTCAGCGCCACATTCAATAAAGTAAAAAAACGCAACCGATCCAAACCGAACCCGAAACTGGATTGAGGAGCAAAAACAAAAGTCACGTAACTTTCTTTTTTTTTTTTTTTTTCAATTAACGTAATTTAGCTTTTTAAAAGCCACAAAAAAAATGGGTATCATGTTTCTTTTTTATTTTTTTTTTAATATTGAGTAAGTGCCTTCGATGACCTACGACTTTGATTATAGTTGGTGGTTATGTCTAAACCAGTAGTCTCAAACTCATTTGAGTATGGGGTCTAAATATCCCACATCGGAAAGGTCGAGGGCCAACGTAAAAGGGGGAGGGGTCTAAAGATTTTAAAGAGAAGAGACCGCTTGCGCTATGTTTTTTGTTAACTCACAGCGACATCTTCAGATTTTATTTGTGGATATGGCTACAATGGGTCCTGACCTGATGTGATGACAATTAAAATCACCCCGCGCCGCCAACCTGCTGTCATTTTTAATAGAACAAGACAGCAAGTACACTGTCGTTCCCGTTGCTCAATTCCCTCAGGATTCAACTAAACTCAAAATGTCTCTAAAGAATTATCGGTTAATTTGACAGTTCTTTGCTTTCCTAGCGATTTTTATGACAACACTTTGAACAGATACTTGTCGCTTCATATCGATAATTTTTAAGGCGACAATATCGAACTGTTTTTTGGCAATTGCTCTTGCTGAGTGAGAGCTCGCGTCATTGTTGTACATTTAAAAAAAAAAAAAAAATGAGAAGCGAAAGATAGAGCGAAACAAATGGCAAATGAACACAGATAAGTATGAACTATGTGAATGTGTTAAAAGAGCAGAGCTACTTTGCGAGCGAAAATGAGTCTGTGAGAAGAGATCTCTATGTTATATCAGCGCTCGAGATATGAACCGCGACTCGTAGCATGGTTGCCCGCGGGACGTGTCCCAGCGACTCCGCGGGCCGCGTCTTTGAGAGCCCTGGTCTGAACCATTGAAACGGCACGTGACCACAGAGAAGCGAGTGAGCGCAGCTCAAACCGGCAAGTTCTCGAACAGCCATTTTCGGGCAGAACGAAAACGAATTCCGAACCGCAAATTGTTTTCTGGGTAGTTAGGCTGTAATATGTCATGTTCAAATAAAAACCTCGGCGAGCATAAATACCATGTCACACTCCCTTCAACCATAAAAGGAAATAATGTTTAATGCATGTAGTTTTACCTACCTTCGACTCGTAAGTGCAACTACTCGTAGTTCTGATGCCTTTCCCCCCATGTCTCCAGCAGCGTTTCTTGTTGGGGAACGAACAGATTCAAATAATTATTTTACCACAATTGGACGTGCGTTTCGAGAAAAAAAAATATTAAAAATAGTGTTTTAGTTTTGAAATGTAATAATTTTATCTGACGTATTTCTTTTAAATAATAACCGCAAGAGGAACCTATAATTCCTTCAGAAAAGCAAGGAGAGAAAAAAAAAATCCAAACCTGTGAAGCATTCTAGCATTTTTAATTATTAAAAAGGTAATCGAGCTTTTGACGGCTATTGTCAGAAATGACTGATGATAACATCTAATAGCATTTTCTTGCTCTAGAAGATATGTCAATTGAATAATTAAGTGGCGTATAGTCAGGGGCGCCCCCAATATCCAGCCGAACCTTTAATATACGTATCAATTTTCACCCCCCAGCCCTCCTCCCGCACACCGAGTCATGGACATCGCAGGCACCTCAGCCACTGGAGTGCATGGAAGTTTAGTCTTACGTTGGCAGAGTTCGTACTGATGCATTGTCGTGGTACAGCTCTCCCGATTTTCTCAAGAAATGCCGGCATGAAAACTGTGATGCATCGTGGTGCAGTGTAACTGTGCTTTGGTTTTAAAGAGCAACCGTAGCACGTGTCCACTGGTTAAGAAGATTACCGCCATTTTCTTTCACGCATTTCTGGCCCTAGGGCCTTCAGATGTGTAGAGTCTTTCCACAGTAGACTCAAATGGATGATTGGCATTTTGTTTAGGAATTATACGACAAATTCAGGTTTAATTACCCGTTATATATATTACCATGTCGGCTGTTCCAAGTGTCGTAACTTTGGCATATCGGCGGCATCTTTTGGATCTTTTTCACCAGTGCCTGCTTTTAAGGTTCTGTCAAATTGTGCAACAACAAACAAGTTTTTTTTTAGACGAAAGTGTTTGTGAAGAACCGCCGAAACGTTTGGCGAACTAATCTTCAGCGCATCGTGGCTGTGCTAAAAGCGCGCAAGAACAAAGTCGAGTTACCGAATATTGAGTTGTTATTTGTCATTATATATTTTTCCAGGAATCTGCTTACACTGTAAATGCAAAAATATGATTTCACTTCCTTACTTGAGATCAATGTGTATGCCTTTAGACCCAAACTATAGAATGCATGATGGATTAGATTTTATATGAAAAACAACTGGATATAACGACGCACAACGTACGTGCTTCATGCACATGTGCAGTTTAGAAAACGTTTAGAGATAAAAAATGTGTTTAGTATCACTGAACAGATTTGCTGAATATGGTTACTGTTATGAGTGTTCTTGATAAATCAGCGAACAATGAGTAAAATGCATTTCAGTCTTTAGTTTATCAAAACAAATTTCATAATTATTTTAACTGCATTTCGGTGCAGGTGCTATTTATGGAGGGTTTATCGCACTGTTCCCCTCGAAAAATCCAGCTTCCCACCTGAGATAATTAAGATCTTTACTGCACTTCTATTATTGGTGAGATGTTTTGTTGGCGCCCTCGTGTGGTTTCCTCTCGTGACGTCATTACCTTGCGAACAACAAGTTCGACGGTGGTTTGCAATTAGCACGGTGGAATGATTGCAGTCTCAAAGCAACACTACCAACACCGTCAGAGTTAAAATTCTTATATTCCTCTTATTTCCGTAGATAAGAAATCCTTTGCTGACGCCATTGTCAGCATTCGGCCAATCGTGGCTGGCCGACTGAAGGTCAGTTATGGCGGCGCCCATGCACAGTTGCTGTAAAGCGTCTATACAGGGGGTTTGGTGACCGAATGGTCTAGCGCACACCAGCTCGGAGCACGTGTAGCGAAAGCTCGCGCTGCAGAACCCAGGATTCGGGATTCAATCCCCACCCCCGCCCGTTCCGAACTGGATGCGCATCGTAGCAAAGTTATAGGCAAATTAAAATTACAAAAACAAAGCAAAAATAACCTAATTCATGACGTCCTTGGTTGCTTGAGTGGCCGTGAACTAGAGGAAGGGTAGTGAGCTCAGCGAGCGCTCACGGCTGCCGCACTCCGTGTCGACGGCTCGAGAGGTCGCCACTAAAGCACGTGTTCGATAGGCTGTATGACGCGGGTGGCCAGGGTAATTCGGCATGACATGTCATTGGCCACAAACGACAGCAAACACGGGGTAAAGATCAGTTCAGAACGGTAGCCACTTCGCGCTGCCATACCGGCAAAAGGGCCAAACCGCAAGCCAAAGCTGCTCGCCGAAGGCCTTCGGAACGTTGGGAACCGGTCGGATCCTCGAGCGCAGTTCCACCGCGTACATCCGGGACCTTTCTACGCTCGCCGCTCGTCGGCGCCTGATCCCACTAGAGCACTATATAGCTCCTACGGAGCAGAGTAGCGCAATCCTTTGAT